AATAAATAAATAAATAAATAAATAAATAAATCAATAAATGTTTTTAATGCTAGGAGCCAGCAAGATAACTCAATGGGTAAAGTTTGCTGCCAAGCCTGATGACCTAAGTTTGATCTCCAAGACCCACATGGTAGAAGGAGAGAAATGATCCTCCCAAGTTGTCCTCTGACTTCCACCTGCACACTTTGGCACTTGAGGATACACACATGCACATACAAAACAAATAAAATGTAATAAAAAGGTAGAACAAATGTGTATTTAAATACACATATGTATACATTGATATTACATATAGATTCTCTGTATAAACACACAAAACTATTAGCAGTGGTTACCCTTGGAAAGGGAAGAAGAAAACTTGGAATCAGGAGTGGGCAAGAACTTCCCTCTCACTGGATATCCTCTTTACTGTCTGAAGTATTTCTAACCTTGTGATTGCTTTCCCTATAAAACAAAAACCACTGCAACAACAGTGAATGTAGTTGAAGATGTGGCTCAGTTGGTAGGGTACTTGCCTAGCATGCACCCTGGGTTGGATCCCCAGCAGGAAGATCAGTTCAAGGTCATCCTTGGCTACATAGCTGCTTGAGGCCAGTCTGGGCTAGTGAGATACTGTCTCAAAGGGGAAAAAAAAATATATATATATATATATAAGCCAGGTGTGGTGGCACACACCTTTAATCCCAGCACTCGGGTGGCAGAGACAGGTGGATCTCTGTGAGACTGAAGTCAGCCTGGTCTACATAGCGAACTCCAGGCCAGCTGTGGCTACAAGGAGACTTTGTCTCAAGCAAACATATATAGATATATAGATATAGATAGATATAGATATATATAGATATATATAGATATGTCACCACTCCTCTAAATGCTGTTAGATGAGATCCCTGGCTCACGATGATCTGTCATTGCAGACAAGTTAGCCATATCCATCTCAGATAAGGAAACTAAGACTTGAGGAACCAGGAAAAATAGAAACAGTCCAACATGTTTTGAGTCACTTACTGGTGACTTACCTTATACCAGCCCCACCCCCACCCCAAGTATCCTTCAGTGAGAATCCTGCCTTCCCTGAGCCCAGCCTGTGGTCTCAGCAACAAGCAGAGGGCAGCACATGACTTCCCATCTCCCTCTTGTCTTTTAGCTGCAAAAACAGCAGATTGAGTCTATAAATGTTGGAGGCACCAAACTAGTGATTAATGGTAGGCGCTCAGAGCAGAGTGTGGCCTGCCGTGTGATCCCTCCTTCTCTTCCCTCTCCTGTCACTGGCATGTCCTGTCATTGGTCTGGCTCCCTGGGGGCAGGGCTGAGGGCCTGATTGTCCTACCCCACCCTGCCTGCCCCAGCCCAGGCCTAGAAAAGGCAGAATATCTTTCCTGTGTGCAGACCTGCCCAGGGGCCTGTAGGGAATGTCAACAGACTCAGCATGTCTGGGAACTCAGGAAGATGAGGGGACACTTGGGGTTGAGGGAGGCAGTGAGGAAGATCACTGAAGCATCAAATAGAAGCTCTCCATCTGGGCCCTCTGGGTATGTCCAGCCCTGTCCTGCACCCCAATTTTTTTTCTGATTCTAGAGTGTCTTCTTTGTCTGTCCCTTCTCTGACTGTGAGACTTTTTTTTCTAACCTGCCCCCTACAGGGTGGCACAGGGGCAGAGCCATACCAGAAGGAAGAATAAGTGGGCCTGGCCCCGGAATCCCTCCCAGGGCAGCTCTGGATTCTGGAAGGGCCCTGAGGGATTGGGTGGGAAGGGCTTAGTAGAAAAAGTGGGTTTGCCCACAGAGGCCTTTGCAGGCACCTCCTTAGCTGGTTCCTTGCTCACACTCTGCCTGGTGTGTGTGTGTGTGTGTGTGTGTGTGTGTGTGTATCTATCCTTGCAGTCTGTGTCCGCCAGCGGGTTCCAAGGCTCGTGTATACCAGCACAGTCAATGTGACATTCGGCGGGAAGCCCATAGAGCAGGGTGACGAGGACTCCGTGCCATACTTCCCCCTGGATAAGGTAACAACTTCCTGGTTAGAGGAGGCAAGGCTGGCAGGCTTGGCACCTACAGCCCATAGAACAGGTATGGATGGAGCCAGGTCCCCCTTATAAGTTCAGAGTACATCCCAGTACAATGGATCCCCAAACTGAGTGGTACAATCTCTCTTATTTCATCTTGTCTTGCCTACATGGGCTTCAAAATCAGACAGACCTGGCCTTGAGCCTCAGCCAGCCCGAACCCTTTGACCTCTGTGACCCTGTGCAGGTCACCTTGCAGTCTGAGCCTCTGTTTCTTCATCAGAACCTGATAATGGCATGGAGGTGTCGGGGCAGGGCATTGTAGAGGGCAGGAAATAGATAATATGTGCAAAAGTCCCACCAGAACACTGACATATCACCATCATTAGTGTCATGGGGCAGGCGTTGGGGGCTGGCAGGTGCCTGCCTGAGTCAGGAAGGATGCAGCTATGAGTCAGACCAGGCCAGGCTGGGCCAGCATTGATATCAGTGACCCCATCTGGTGGCTCTGTTCTCCCTGTCCCCTGGCAGCATATGGACCACTATTCCCGAACTAAAGCCATTGCTGACCAGTTGACTCTCATGGCCAATGGGACACCTCTCCTGGGTGAGTACCATGGGGCCCTGCTTACATGCCTGCCTACTGCTGTGTCAACTTTTAGCTGACCTTGGCTGAGGCACAATATCCCTCAAAATGACCACTCCCCAGGGCCTGGGCCTTTGTTTTTCAAAATATGTGTCTCCCCAACCAGGACCCAGTTGGGACAGTCAGATCACATGCGTGTGATTTGGTGAGGAAAAGACTTGGGCAGCCCAAGGCTTAACTCTCTTTATTGTCTCATAGGAGTGGGTTTTGTTTTAAGAGTTCTCTTAGCATTATGAATATGCAATGAGCTATAGCTCTTTGGAAGGACCATGCAAGTGAGTGGTCTTGGAGCTTACCCGTCAATAACTTCCCTTAAAAACCTGCCTCATCTGCCTTCCTGAATTCTTTCCTCTGGCTAGAGAGAAGCAATAATAGGATAGGAACAGTCCACGTGTATTAAGTGCATTCTTCATGACAGACTCTATTTGCATGCTAGTTTCATATGCAAAAAGTGGTAGGGGGCAGCTTACCTGGTCTCCTGGTCTTCCACACAGGAGCCAAATCCATTCAGATAATGTCTTTGCCATAAATCTCACTACTGTTTTCTAAAATTCAAAAGCTAGGGAGCTGGAGATCTTATCTGGGCTTATCTCAACAGGTAAGAGCACTGGCTGCTCTTACAGAAGACCTAGGTTCCGTCCCCAGCACCTGCAAGGTAGCTCACAGCCATCTGTAATTCCAGTTCCAGGGGACCTAATGCCCTCTTCTGGCCTCCACAGGCATTGCATGCACATGGTTCATTTAACATACATGCAAGCAAAACACTCATACACATAAAATAAAAATAAATAATTTCTTTAACTCCAAAGCTAAAAAGAACCAGACAGATTGGTTTCCCTTTATTATCAAAACTGTCTACCTGGTGGGAAAGTCTTGTCATCCCAGCTACCCCAGCGGCTGAGGCAGGAAGATCAACAAGTCCAAGGCTTACCTGGGCTACAGAGTGAGTTCAAAACCAGCCTGGGAAACTTAACAAGACCCTGTCTCAAAAATAAAAAGTGAGGGGCTGGAGAGATGGCTCAGAAGTAAGAACACTAGCTGTTCTTGCAGAGGACCTGGGTTCAGTTCCCAGCACCCACATGATGGCTAACAACCATCTATAACTCTAGTTCCAGGGGATCCGACACCCCTCTTCTGGCCTCTGCTTCCATTTCATGACATGGGTGCATTTATATACATGCAGGCAAAACACTCATACACATAAATTTTTTTTATTATAAAAATAAAAGGTGAAAAAAGGGTGAAGCTATAGCTCAGAGGTATAGTACTTGCTTAAGCATGTATAAGGCCCTGTGTTCAACTCCTAGTACCACCAATAAATAAAATAAATAAATAAACAAACAAACTTTGGAGCCAAGTGATTTGGAGAACAAGAGATGCTTGAAATTATAGACCCAGTTTACAAGTAAAGACTGATTAACTGGCTTCATTCACAATGAATTGGCTTCATTCCGCTATTGGAGCCATTGGGTGGTAGAGTTGAACACTGAACCCCAGGCAGGTCAGCGCCAGAGCCTAGAACTTATGTTCTGTGCTACTCTGGAGGCACACTGTCCCCAAGTATGGGTTCTTTTCCCTAAAGCATCCCCACCCTTATCAACTGGGCTATCAGTCCTCTGGTTCCAGGGGGCACATCCACTATGTTTCCCCAGGGATTTGATCTGGTGCAGGTGAATTCCCTTCTCTGCTGGGGCCTCCCCCTAGCCAGGCCAGACACCTAATCCTCTGGCTGAGAATTATTCATATGCATGTCCCCAGATTTCCATGCTCAAGAGAGTCATGGATACCCTGGGCCAGCCCTCTATGACGTGGCTGCCCAGTGTCCTGCTGGCCACTGTTGGCTGTAACCTGACCTCCCTCCACCGTGTCCCCAGGGACCCAGAGCTCAAACTTAGCTGCAGGCTACAGAAAAGCTCACCTGACACCTGCCTTCCAGGAGGCCAGCCATGGTCACTCAGGGTGATTTCCACTCCCTGCGACCCAAGCTGGTCCCCAAGACTGTCCTCACTTGAGCTAGGTGGCAGAGTCCCAAGATGGAGGCCCCAGCCCAGAGCCAGTGTGCATCCTCTGCCCTGCATATGTTAGTGACTGCAGCTCCCATGGTGACTTAGAACAACAGGATATTCTTGAACCATTTAGAGGCTGGAGCCTGGAGTCAGGGTGTTACTCAGAACTCCCTCTGAAGGCTCTGAAGGCTCTAGAAAAGCATTCTTTTTCTCTTCCAGACTCAGGTGGCCCCAGGCTGCAAAACTCCAGTCCTTGCGTCTGTCTTCACATGGCCCCTTTTCTGCTCTGTCTCTTTAAGACATTTGCTATTGGATTTAGGCCCAACTGGAAAGTTTAGGACAATTTCAACTCACCCAAGTCCTTAATTACAACTACAAAGGCTCTTTTCCAAACAAAGCCACGTCAGCAGGTTCGGAATATGGACATGTGCTTTGGGACTCTATCACACACTATACTGGGATTCATTGTAAAATGAGAAATGTTTGGTTATGATGGGAGACGCTGGCCCTAGCTCATTCGTGGAGAAATGGAACTTACAGCTGAAGGCTATGATGTAGTGCCTGAAAACAGATTTGCAGAAAAATGACCCCAGGCTTAGAAAGAACAAGCTCAGACAGCTCTCAAGGGACCGGATAGCAGGAGCTGATAGCCAGTGCCCTCAGGGTAGATGATCTAGAATTTGGGGTCTCGATGTCAACGATGCATCCTAAGGGAACCACCTTTACAGACCTCTGCAGAGTCCGGGGAGAGGGATCTTCAAAGAGATTGGTCTTCTGTTGGTCTACACTGGGCCTCCCATACGGGATAAGGAGCAGGATGTGTAGACAGCTTTGGGCTCCCCAGTCTCCATGTGCTGCTTCTCTGCAGACCCCTGACCACCCAACCTTGTGTTTTAGGAGGAGGTACACTCCGCACCTGTGTGCTCAGGCCCCCAGGAATCTACGGCCCTGAAGAACAGAGACACCTGCCCCGGGTGGCGGTATGTCCTTCCATCCTTCCTGGGACCAGAGACAGACAGAGCCGGGCTGGTGTGGTGTGCATGCTGATCAGACCCTCACAGCTACTGCATCTGTCTAGAGGCAGTGTCCCCAGCCTGACCCTCTGTGCTGGCAGATCCATGGTCCATAAGCCCCTCAGACCTACCAGGGTCAGAGATCTCAGAGTGTGCCGACACACCTAGGTTCAAGTCGGGGGACAGGGAGCTTTGACCCCAGAGAGACCCTCATATGAACTCCCTAAGAGCTGGATAGTTAATCTCAGGCTGACAATGAAAGTTCTGTGTGTCAGAAAAATCTAGAAAAAGCCAAGCACCAGGAATATGGCAGCACGGGGCTCTAGGTCGCCTGTCTTCACAGCCTTAGTCAGGGTAACAGACAGCACAGTCACAGCTTCAGCATGGTGAGGGCTGAGTAGAGGAACACACACACACACACACACACACACACACACACACACAAAAAAAAAAAAAAAAAAAAAAAAAGGGGCCGGGGGGGGGGGG